CTACAGTATTTTTACAGTCTTTATTTTACAGTTAAAATAAATGTTTATCAAATAAAGTCTCATGTTACAACTAATCATGGATCCCTTTAAAGTTTATCTTTGATATAACCTCAACATTTTTTTTCCTTCAATTTAAAAAGCAGGTTAATTTTTTATGGACTCTGATCAGAAATAATCTTAGTTTCAGGTAAATTCGAACTTGCCGCTGTATTTAAACACGTRGCGTTTGTTTCTCACCGTTCGTCCCTGCTCGGCCCCACGCACACACGCCCACCGTGACGTGGTGACGGGTTGTTACAGGACCGCTGGCGCAGCTCAAAGCCCGTTCCACAGGTGGTGCTGCACTGTCCCCAAGATGACCACGGTGTCCAGCCTCCGTTTCTGTGCCAACAGACAAACGGACAAACATTAGGAGACCATGATGTCACAACTGTTCAGAAGCCTGATTATTCACCAGTGCTTTAGCATTTCTTGCAGGGAGCTATCCCGGGCTAAATAGAGAGGAAGAAGCCTTTTAGCTGCAGCCATCCAATTATTGCTCTGATCCTGAACTTCTGGAAGAAGAAATGCAAACACACAAAGAGAGCTCATTCTGACTGGGAAACATTCATTCAATTTGCTTAAGTGCTTTGTTCCTGCGTAGCTCTCCTCATGATTTAATTGCCACTTTCTACAAAAGCACAATTCAATTTTAACACCAAGGATTAAATCTGGCATGGCTACCCAGCAGAATGAAGGTGCTTAAGCTCTGAGTCTTTGCTTTCTGATTGGCTCGTTCCCCCGATGACACGGGCGGTCTCAAATGTCACAGGGTGAACTTGATGTCACCTTAGCTTTCTCAAAAGATTCATCACTTTTACAATCGTTTTAATGTTATTTCAGAGTAAACTGCTTCCTAAGGCAGACGCTTCAAAGGACACGGCTGACATCTTAGATCAGACTGCTTATTAAAAACAAGCTGAATTGGATACTTTGATCATTCTTATTTACAAAAGCATTGATTGTGTCACTATAAAAGCATCACAGGTGTAGCTCGCTGTCTGATTTTCCTTTGATGGAACCATCTAATGGCTGGACGACAAGCTCAAAACTCAAATGAAGTCAATATTTGTGAAATGTGATATGTTTAATAATGCAAAAAATATGTACTGTGCACATATTAGGAATACCTGCAATAATAATACAAATAAATTAAACCATACTATATTTTTTTAAAATAATTGCCTGTATTTATATTTTATGGAGCCCGCGAGGGGACATGGGAGATTTTTATCACTCGTCGTTTATCACTGTTGTGCCTACGGTTTATTAAKAAACTCAKATGTTCACCATTAGCGAGTTAGCCTACTGCTTTAATTCAGCTTCAGAATGAATATATCACACAACCACGCATGGAAGTATGTCATATGKTYATATTTTAACACAATGCAGCCACACAACTGTTAAAAAAATAAGCAATGTTCTTTACCCTTTACCTGTTCAGATGTAACAACAGTTAATAATTATGACATGTGAATGTTTGAGTGAGCCATACAAAACCATCCGGACACAGCTGTGGACTGATTAGCTTTTGTTTTAATCTGCCTCCAACAGGCATCATCTAAAAGTCAATTTCACGAACTTGTGGCGACACATTCTGTTTTGGTAACCAGGTATTTCCCAATAAAAGTCTGATTTGATTCAGTTCATATACAAAACAAACTTTTGCGTGAGAACGCAAAAAGTTTTGCGAGGTAACGCAAAGATATTGCGAAGTAACGCGATAGTGTTGCATGGGAACGCAAAAGAAAAAAAAATCCCCCCATGTCCCCTCACGGGCTCTGTAATATTTTAATTTTCCTGTTTTTAAGCTAGGAGTTTATTACTGGGAATAAATGACATTAGTTTCATCCTGTAACCGGGCATGCAGAGAACCTTTCCAAGTGTTGACAGGTACAGTAAATACAGCAGGTAAAATAAGTATTGAACACGTCACCATTTTTCTCAGTAAATATATTACTAGAGGTGCTAATGACATGAAACTTTCACCAGATG